GGGGGGGTGGGAAAGGGGGAGGGTGTTTGACGTCATCACCCTTTTTCCCCTCCCCCACCCCCCAAAAATGGTCGGAAGGGCAAAAAAGGACCCATAGATTGGGGACCCCCCCTATATATATTAAAATATATATAAAATAGCCCCCCCAAAAATAAAGGGCGCCCTCCTGTGGTCAGGAGGAGGAACAGCAAGATGGGACAATTTCTGTAGGCACCACTTGGAAGTTCTCAAGTTCTTCTACCAGCAGGACCAGGAACCCATCTACCTGCTGTATGACAAGTCCTAAGTTCACAGTTTCCACCTCTTGGTCCCCCCCTTGAAGAAATTTTGGAGGTTTTTCCTCAGTTCCTCCAAGAACTTCTTTGTTTTTTCCTCAGGAAGGAATCCAAGTTTATCTCCAGGCTTTAAAAGAGGTGAGAGAAGTAGAAGACCTGGAAAGCAGAAGAAAACCAGCAGAAAGAAGAGCTCATACCTGGTAGGTGCCCTCAAGCCTGGTAGAAGGTGGGTTTCTCCTCCTTATCCCATCATTGCTGGTGGATTTTGAGATTAGATCTTATATTTTTGGGGTTTGTGGAGTGGTTTTTGGTCAACCCAATGTTTATCTCCTGGGATTTCACATCAGCTGGAGCTTGGGTTGAGGAAGCTCCTCTGCAAGGGAGCTTGAGGGGCAGACAGAGATGGGCTGGAAGGTTTTTTGGTGGTGGTGGTGGGTTTTTTCCTCCTAAACTCTAGAAATCTCCTTCTGATGGAGCTCCTCTCCCATGTCCATCTTCAGTGGAAGCTTTGGGATGGCACCTGTACTGCAAGGATGGGGAGATGGGACACCAGCAGATAACAGTGAGGAGTAAAGATCACTGGATATGAGGTGATGGAGTCAACTCATGAGAAGGAAGAGAACATGGAGGGGTTGGTCAAGGATGAAGAACCCACAGGACTTTCAAACCTGTGGTCTTCTGCCTTTTTATGGACCAAATTCTCCTGGTTTTAGATTTTTCTGAAGTTTTTTTTGCCTTCTGACATTAGTCCCAAGGTAGATCTAGAGTTCCTTCAACCAAGGGAGATGGTCTTTCACTACAAACTGCTTTGGTTGGAGGAGCTGATCTCCTCAAACCATCTTTGTCTACATTTCTGAGATTTCTTTTCAATGAAAGAACTTTTTGGGTTGTCTTCTCCAACTTTTTGGGTTGTCTTCTCCAACTTTTTGGGTTGTCCTCCTTCCTGCCTCGGATTGTTCTGGATTTCTTGGCTTTTGGGTCAGCAAAATTAAAAAGAAAAGATGTATAAGATGAGGACATCTTGCTTATCTTTCCATCTTCTCATGGTGGACCTCCAATCATTCAAGCTCCCTTTGCTGGCAGTGAAGGAAGACCCACCTGGATGTAATTTTCCACACTCAACTCTCAATTCCTGGAGAACTTCCCCCAAAAAAACCTTAATCTCCTTGTTGGTTGTTCAAGAGGGACAAGATGAGATCAGTTATCCCAGAAGCTGGTTAGATGTTCCTCAACTACAAAACCAAGTTGGAATGAGCAGGTGAAATACAAGTTGTGGCATTTTCACCTCGTTCATCTACATCGATTCCCTCAAAACCTTCTGAGTTTCTTCTGAGGAAACTCAAAAGAGGAAGAAACGTCACCAAAAATCAATCCAAGTTATTGATTAGAGAACCGAGAAGAGGAACCAGGACCAAGAGTGGGAGGAGGTGGAGTGATATTGGGCTCAGAATAACAGACGAGATATGAGTAGGCACCTTGTGATGAAGCCACATCTTCACCATCTTCATGGGTCCCATCAAGGGCAAACTCACAGCTGCTATTTTGGTGTCTTTTGTCACACTGAGACATCTCCCTTCCATCCATGTTCTGCTCCATCATTATCACTTGGTCTCATCAGTTGGGAAACCCAGGAGATCTCACTGCAGGGTGGACATCTGCTGGACAAAGCCAGTCAGGAGCTCAAGGGTGAGGAAAGTTCAACCAAAGCTACTGGGAAAGACTTTTTGAGGAAAAACTTGAATTATTTTTTACTCCTTCTCCCATCTCACCCCCTTGGCCACGTCTCTGACACAGAGGACATCTCACCATGTACGTTGGGTCCATGTCTTGACTCTGATCCAAACCCAGTTGAGAAACACAGATGAATAGACAGGTCATCAGGGTAGGAAGAACCAAAGAAGAAAACCTGGGTGAAAAGGTTTGGAGGCTAGAAAAGCTCTTGAGCTCTTCTACAAGGACACACTTGTGGTTTCCTGGAGGTCCCTGAACCACCGTGGTCCTACCACGCTCCTCTCAGAAGCACCTGCTGAGAAACACAAGACAAAACCCAACGAAAACTCAGTGGAGGTGGAGATGGATGGTTCTCCAACTCCTTCAGGAGCCACAGATGCCCTCCACATCTCTGGATCTTCATCCACCTCCACCTCTCTTGGGTTGGAACTAGATGATCTTGAAGATCTTTTCCAACCCATATCACATTCTATGATTTTTTTTTTTTAATTCCATGATTCCAAAGGTATCTCTTCAGCTCCAGGAATCTCCAATGCAGATGTCTCCACCCCAACTGGTTCTCCAAGATCTGCAGACGCTTTTTAGGGTGTGACTCATTTGCCCAACCGTAGGCACCTCATTTGGAGATGAAAGGAGCTTCACCCAAGGCTCTGGAGACGCTGGAGAGCAAATCAACCCAGTTCAGACAGATGTGTCTCATCAGATACCAACATTCACTTGGTTGCACCCATCTCCTGTATCTGGTAGGACGTTGCCTCCCAACTTGCTCACCTGAGGACACGCTTCCTTGAGAAGTGGTTGGAAGGTGTTTTGCTTCCAGTCCTGCTGCTCCCAAAGCAAATGACACCCCTGGGGCTTGTTCTTGATGAGAAGAATTTGCTGGAAATGAAACTTGAATTTCCAAACTTGACCAAGTAATTGCAGTTGGGAGAATTATCTCAGTTGGAAGTTCTCCAGATGGGTCACTGAAGAACTTTGTCTCTCAACTTCTCAGTCGCTGCCGTGCCAAAAAATAATTCGATTTATTAAATTATGGAGCTTAAAAAAGGGACAGTGGGTTCTAAATTCCTCAGAAACCTTCTCCTGGGAGCTGAGAGCTAGGACAATGCTTCTTGAAGGTCACATAGTGATAGGTTGGCTTGTAGGCACGTTCCCAAGGACCCCAACTTGTGTTTCTTTACACAACATTGAGTTGCAACCTCTCTCCCAGCATCTACAAAGCTTTGGTTGCACATTTCCCTCCCTGTTTTCTTCTGCCTCCTCCATCTATGGTCCCATCAGATCTCAAGATCTCCTCACCCTTCTCCTAGTAGCTTGAACATCTTTTGCCTCCAGCCTTTTTCTAGGAGGGTTGATGGTTTTTTTGAGTGCCCAACCCTCAAAGGAAGTGGACAAAAGCAGTGAGGTGACAACCTTCAAGAGATCTCCAAGATAAAACCAACCAGAAGATTGACAAGGGAGAAAAGATGATGCTCCCAGCACATCAAACCAAGGGTGTCACCACCTTCTGGCCAGGAGACATGGCACGAAGAGTTGACTCGCAGGTTCAACGTATCCGTGTCTCAGTTTTATCTTGAGCTGGGAAGGACCAGGAAGAGAAAGATCCAGTTCCATCAAAGGGAGAAAAAACCCAACAGGTTTGTTTAGTTCTCCTCAGAAGAAATTCAGATATCAAGTTTTCTGAAGGGAGAGAAGAGAAGGTCTCCAAGGAAGGACACAGCTCTCCTGGAGTGCAGAAAACTGGAGGATCTGGTAGGTGTCCACCTCGTTGATCTATCAATCCTTGGATAATAATAAATTGAGTTTTGGGGTCATTTCTTTAGACAATTTTGGGTTGTTTTTGCACCATTTCTGTGGTGGGAAATGTCACAACTTTCCACCCAAGTTCAAGAAGAAGTTCAAGAAGTTCAAGAGTTTTTGGCTTTTATCAACATTTTTCCTCCCAAACTCGTGTTGCTTTTTCACATCAAGTTTGATTTCTCCCCCCCCCAACCCAGATTTCTCCAGGAATTCAAGAAGAACAAGTAGGGTTTGGGGTTCATGGGTGATCTTCTGTGGGAGATACTTCTCCATGAATTCCTGGTGGTATTTTCTCATCCCACTTCTCCTTTGTTTGCATCTTAAAAGGGAAACTTGAGCTCTGCCCCTCCCAGGAGAACTCTGAGATCTTCTTGTTTTCACAGTTGGAAGACCTAAAAAATGAAATTGAGAAGAGACAAGCCAAAAATGCCACCAAATTCTCAGAGGACATTTCCCAGCTGGATAACTTGACACGAGGAGAAGAAGAGAAGAATCAGAGATCGGTGAGTGAATTCAACCACTTTACAGCTTTGAAAGAGACAATTTTAAAGGAGGTCCCACCACCAGGGAGCTGCTGGGTTAATGAGGTTGGTCTTTCCTAGTTCTAGTTTGCTCCTCTTCCCTCTGTAGATGTCACCAAGGGGATGAGAAGGGGGAGAAACCTGAGAAGATGGAGAAGAAAAATAAAGGGGAATTAAATCACCATCTCTGGTTGGGAATGGTGAGGGCTGGTGGTCCCCGATGGGATGGGGAATGAGATCATCATCAACCTTCATCCCATCTTTGTGGTACCTGAGAGAGAGAGGAGAATGGTGAGGGCTGGTGGTCCCCGATGGGATGGGGAGCAAGACCATCACCAACCTTCATCCCATCTTTGTGGTACCTGAGAGAGAGAGGAGAATGGTGAGGGCTGGTGGTTCCCTATAGGATGAGGAGCAAGACCATCACCAACCTTCATCCCATCTTTGTGGTACCTGAGAGAGAGAGGAGAATGGTGAGGGCTGGTGGTCCCCGATGGGATGAGGAGCAAGACCATCACCAGCTTTCATCCCATCTTTGTGGTACCTGAGAGAGAGAGGAAAATGGTGAGGGCTGGTGGTTCCCTATGGGATGAGGAGCAAGACCATCACCAACCTTCATCCCATCTTTGTGGTACCTGAGAGAGAGAGGAGAATGGTGAGGGCTGGTGGTCCCCGATGGGATGGGGAATGAGATCATCATCAACCTTCATCCCATCTTTGTGGTACCTGAGAGAGAGAGGAGAATGGTGAGGGCTGGTGGTTCCCTATGGGATGGGGAGCAAGACCATCACCAACCTTCATCCCATCTTTGTGGTACCTGAGAGAGAGAGGAGAACATCAGGTAGGTCCATGGGCTGGAGGTAGGGTTGAAGACAAGCTGGAAATGCAACCCCCATGGGGTTGATCAGCAGTGTCCATGGCCATGGTCCTCCAAGGCATCTTCCAAGGTCTTTCTAGATCCCTCCATCCCTGCACAGATCCAGATCTGAGCAGAAGGTTGGGGGCAGAGACCCAAGAGGTCCATCTTTGACTAAACAATTCATCATGGTTGTGATTTAAGGAGAAAAACAAGCTCATGTTGACCTTCTCTTCTTGTTCTAGGACGTGAAAGGCGCCGTCAGCAGGTACGTGACCTCTCTTGAAAGGTCTTTTCAGGAGCTTTTTCAAAGAGCAATGACCATGGTGGAGAAAACTGGGTGGTGGGTGCTGAAGAAACCTCTGCTTTAGGGAAATTGGAAGGATCTGGAAGAGTATTTTAGGTGCCACCACTACAAGGTTGTGTCTTCTCTTGATCATTTCTGGGGACACATTAATCAAAGGAGGTTGAGACCTCCACCTTGACCAAGACTGTGGGTTTTTTTGTTGTTGTTGTTGTTTTTTTCCCCCCTCAGGTGTGGGAAAGTCACTTTCCATCTACCAGTAGATATTTCTCCAGAATCAGAAGAAAGGGTTTGTCATTTCTCATGGAGGAACAGTGCTCTGAAGGAAACTCTGAAGAAGCTACAAGGTACTGAGAAGGGCTTGGGGAGGAGAAAAAAATAGGTTAGACATATTTTGGGGAGAACTGGAGGAGCTGAGCTGCCTTTAGCTCCTTCTGGAGGTACTTTGAGAAGATAAATACTCCAGAGAGAAACCCTGAGATGAAGGAGAGGAAGAGTTGGACTCAATGATCTTTATGGGTCACATCCAACTCACAACCTTCTAAGAGTTGGAAGTGGTCCAACATCTCAGACCATCTCTGGGTCACATCCAACTCACAACATACCCACTTCACACCTCATTTTTCACTCAACTATATAAGTTTTGCCCTAACTCTTGGAAGATGTTCACAGATGAACCATGGGCTGATCTTTGGCTTGGTTTCTCCTCCATCTTAACCTTTCCTAACATGGTCTTCTGCTGAGAGTGAGAACACAAGAGCCACCATACCTGTTCAACGAAGGTGCACCTAACCCAAAGTAGCCCAAAAATAGATGTTGAAGGAAGAAGATGAAAATTAGGGCAACCCAACAAGTTCTTTCAGCCCTGTAGCTGGATTCTCCACCTAACGCTGGAGGACAACCCACCTCAGGGTAGAACCTTTGCCTTGAATCCTCATTATTTCCATGAAATAAAGAAAGATGGAAATGGATTGACCCAATTCATCACCCTATCTTCAAGTTTTAGTTCTTTTCTGGTCTTCTCAAGTGGTTGATGCTTGTTGTAGGAGATGATCTGCTTGAGATCTTGCTGGTTGACATCTCACGTATCCCCTTCCTTAATTTTTTTTCTGCTCTCAACATTTAGGCCCAACACAACCTAAAATTCCCAGGGATTTCTGCCATGAGTCCATTGCCACCACTGTCCACCTTTTGGTGGCTTTTTTGGGGGGTTAAAATCAGTTTTTCTCCTTCTTGGAGATGTTTCCATGATGATTATTACCCCTTGGATGTCTAACTGTGTCCTGGTGGCCTCCTCCAAGCCCTTCCCCACATCCTTGGGATGCTCAGCCTTGCTTCTGACACCTCTGTCCTCCACCCTACAGCCATCATCACCCTAGATCCTGACACGGCTCATCCCGACCTCATCCTTTCTGAGGACCTTAAGAGCGTGAGACGTGCAGAAGGACAACGAGACCTTCCCGATAACCCAGAGCGATTTGACTACTGGCCCTTCGTGTTGGGATGTCAGGGATTCGTGGCCGGTCGGCATTGTTGGGAGGTGGAAGTAGGAGATGGTGGAGATTGGGCTGTAGGGGTGGCCCGTGAGTCCATCTGTCGGAAGGGACATCTCAGTCTTTGTCCCCAAGGAGGGATCTGGGGAGTGGAGAAATGGGGAGGACAAATTCGGGCACTCACCACCCGCAAAGTAACCCTCCTACCCCTACGTTGGGTGCCTCGAAGGGTCAGTGTCCACCTGGACTGCACCGGAGGGACGGTGGCATTCTTTGATGCAGATGAAGGTGGACTCATGTTCATTTTTTCCCGTGTCTCCTTCACCGGGGAGAGGATCCATCCATGGCTCTGGGTGGTGGGAGCCAAGTCCCAGCTTAGGTTGTGTCCCTGAAACATGAAGATCAACATCACCCCCAACTTTCTACAACCTCAAGGGGCAACCACATGTCCCTCAAGATACCCCTGAGACCACATAGAACAGAAGAAATTGGGATTTGGGGGGGGTTTTTTTGGGGTGTTTTCTTCTTCTCCATGAAGCTGGGGGATTGATGTGCAAGGAGAAGAGAGAAACCTGAGAAAGATGAGGCAGAGGGAGAAGAAAAAAGCTCTGGAGAAGGAAAACCTGGAGCTTAGAAATGGGAAATAGGGAAAAATCCAGAGTGACAGTAGTAGAAAAGTTCTGCCTGGTTAAATATAGGTGTCCTCATCTGAGCTGGTCACCTCCAAACCAAGTGGTCTTACTCATCTAGTATCTTTGCTGGTGGCAAGTTCACACGTGGCAAAGCTCCTGAGCTTCAACTGTTTCCTTTCTTCTCCAAACAACTGATATTTGAAAACCCTCATGTTGTTGATAATTAATAATAATAATAATAATTAATAAAAATTGACCTTATTTTCTCCTCCGTGTCTTTCCTTCTGGTTGGGATTGCTAGGAGAACATCATGACACGTGGCTTCCAGGGATATCTCTAGATCATCTACATGGAGTTTGTGGACATTGTTGGATGAAGGCTTTATGAAAATATCAGGAATGGGATTTAATTAACCAAAACTTGAAGGACAAGTTGAAAGCTCCTTGAAAGCTCCTCAACTTGAACCTGACATCCAGAAGCAACAAATAACCAGACAGAGAAGTACATTCCAACATGTAAATCTTTTTATTTCACCTAAAACCATAAAACAAGGTGGTACAAGATACTTTGGAGCAGATGTGGTTCCATCCATCAACCACTGACACCCCAATTTGAGGATGACCATTTAGGACAATGCCCCAACAGAAGTTCTCAACTCTTTGGTATCACTGAGGATGGAAAAAGAGAGGTCAGAAAGGTCAAGTAGGACTTTAGTAGACAGAAGTGTTCCAAAGTGGTGGAAATGGAGATGTGGGACACATAAAACTTGTGTTTGGGTAAGAAGAGAGAACTTCAGGGACACAATGTGATCTGAGACCCCTTGCTCCACACCAGGAACCAGGGATGAATACTCTCCCCTTCAAATGAAGCTGCTGGGAAAGTGAATATCAGGGCCTTCTTATCAGCATCAAAAAATGCCACCTGACCCTTTTCATAGTCCAAGGAGATCCGGACCCTTCTGGGGACCTGGATCTGGTAGAGTGGGATACGCTCAAGGGAGGTGAGAGCCCAAAACTGACCTTCACAGAGACCCATAGACCAGAGCTTCATCTCAGGGCTCACAGATGTCTCTTCCCTTCTCTTCAGGGACTCCCTGGCCACCCCTACAGCCCAGGAACCTTCAGGTGTCACCTCCACCTCCCAGCAGCATCTCCCTGAGGTGACGCCCTCACAGCCCAGCACACAGGGATCAATGCCAAACCCTTCAGCAGATGGGTCCTGCTGGGCATCTTCCCACCTCACGCTCCTCCCGTCCGCTGACACAACGAGCTGGGGGTGAGTCGTGGATGGATCCAGGGTCACCTTGACTGCAAGGGGCAGAGAGAGTAGAACATCAAAGGAAACCAAACCATGTCCCACAACCTTGGGTTCTCCCTTGCTGCTCGGGCTCCTGCAGTATCATCCATCCCATGACTTGGAATGCTCTGCCCTTGTTGAAGGGACAGACATTGGTCACTTTCCCCATCCCACAGGACCCAGGTAAGCATCAGAAGAAGATTCCCAAGGGGACCAAGAGGACAAGTAGGAGTCCCATACTCCATTTTTTTTTGGTCCAAAAATGCCAAACTAGGGATTTGCTCCTTGAACATACTGATGTGAGGGACAGACTCCATCTTCACACAGCTGAGCAGCTCCACTGGAAGAAATGAACCTCTCAACACATGATGGTGAAGATCTCCTGACTCCTCATGGAGTTTTTGGCCACCCTACCATTCATTCTTTTGTTCAGACCCAGCAGCACCTTCCCCAGATGACCCTTCAACTCATAGCCCATCCCATGTTGAGTTCAACCTTCCCTTGGTCCTTCCCACTCCCTCACCTCCAGGAGATGTAGACTTACTTTTATCAGGCAGCTGGAACATCAGGAGGTCTAAAGAGAGGAGAAGAGACATTATCTAACCTAATATGGGTGTGAACATGGAAAGAGAGATGTTCTGCTGCCCTGAGGTCAATAAATTATGATCTATACTTGAAGTAAATATAATTTATGATCCCACAGCTACTTCTCCATCTGCCCACCTCAGCCCACGTTCAATACCTTGGAAGCTCCTCAGGTTCTCCTCTAGAGTGAGATTTTTCTCCTTGAAGTGCTCAATTTTCTTCTCCAACTCTGGAAGAAGCAAC